CAAGCAACAATGTTTGTGGGTTGACTTAGCGTAGTTTTGGTTAGCAGTTCAGCAGGGATGCTGAACCCCTGGGACTGGGTTAACCAAAGACAGAGCAAGAACTAAGAGGTTGGTGAATTCCTCATGCTCTGTTGGCCTTGTCATTCTAATATTTTCCCCAAGTGTCATGGATGACATTGATTAAAGGATCCCTTGGCATGTTGGGTTCAGTCCCTCAAGTGCCTTTCTTCAGGACCATTCATAAGGAGGAAGTCTTGAGAAGTGAGCCAAATTTATGACCAAGGCGTCTACAGGCCCTTTCCATCAGTCCCTTCTTCCCTTTTGGTGTCCCATCCCTACCCACAGCAAAATCTGCTCTCCTGACATGATGTCCCAAAGTTCTGTGGACCCTTCTTTCTTTGATTCTCCTTCTCTTCCCCTTCTCAGAAGTTTGCCTAATCCAGTAACACTAACTTCCCATGGCATTCAAAAAATATTTGTTGCTTGATTGGCTGGCTATCCTGGAACAAAACTATGTAGATAAAACATATTGACACCCTCATTTTACCCCAGAAATTATCATCACTGATAAGCCCTAGTGAACATTAAGGAATTAGCCAATAGCCCTAATGGAGCCTCCTAAGCTCAGCACAGCCAGGGCACCTGTCGTAGATATGTATCACCTGCTGCTCAAATGGGTCAAAGATGTGTAGGGTGGTAGGATCCCTATGCAGCCACTGAACATCTGGTGTAGGGAATTTAGGTAACTATGAATGAGTGATAATTTTTCTCTGGCTCTGAGCTTCGGTGTTTGGTATAGCTAATTTGGCTGAGAAACAATAACACCACAAAAATGGTGTGTTCCTCTCTCAGGTTTTGTTATATCAGAAACAGTAGCTGATGAACCAGAAGGGTAGAAGGCTTCGAAAGTGTCACAGGGCAGAGAAGGGTAAAAGGATGATACACTATGAGAAAGCCCTATATTTTGGTGACAGAGCAGTAGGTGCTGAGAGCAAACTGTACCTTGAATTTGAGGTACAAAGAGGGAAGAGTGTCCTGCAAATTCCATAGCCTCACTGTCACAAATCAAATATAACTCTCCATCCATCATCTTTAAATTCTTTGATGCTATGTCAAGTAGCATTCAATATTTTATTTCTATCATTCTTTATTTTTTATTACAATGTAATAACATTCTTGAAAAGGAAATTCAAATACAGAAGTACATGAAGAAGTGCATTTCTCTACCTCACTCCCCATCCTTAACTCCACTCCTAAGAAGTAATCATTATTAAAATTTTAATGTGTCTCCTCCCACGCTTTTTTCTTTGCATATGTAAGCATATTTACTTTTGAGGGAGTTTTGATATTTGTTCACAAATGGGACCATAGTGTTTATATTCTTTAGTTTGCTTCATTATTATATTTATTTATTTTATACCAGCACTAGTCTGGAATGATATGCCCCTTCCCACAAATACATTTTCCCAATTATAGAACTCAATTATTGCGTGAACAAAAAAAAAAAAAAAAAAAAAAAAAAGTGTCTTCTGCTCTCATGTACCTGTGATTCTGGATAAGCCCCACTCAGGTTGCAAAGAAGGGGTTGTGAGCTCTTTAGGTGCCTAAGACCCCCTTATGGATCCAGAGAAAGCTATGGACCTTCTCTCCCAGAAAAATGCACATATGGACAAAGTTTTGCAGACAATTTCAAAGTTAAGATTCCCTCCTGCTTTAATTTCCCTTTCTTCCCAAGTATGTGTTTCATTCCAAAAGACTGATCAGCAGACAGTCTCCCTCCAACACCCCTAGCCTATAGGAGATGCCCATCCATGTTAAGCCCTACCAAACACTACTTTTTTCCTCCACAGGGATGAGCTTAACCCAGACTCCCGTACCCTTTGCCATTGGTGCTTGGCAGGACTGGTAGAAGCCACTATTACAACAAACAGAGCCCAGTCACCTTCCCTGCAATGCCAACTTGCTGGCTTCCTAGATACCCTCACTGATGCCATGAGCAAAACCCAGGGCAGGCTGTCAAGGCTGCACCTCATTAACATCTAGTATAGTCAGCAACTAATATTGGTCACTCTTTTCAAGAAGACTCTGCTACCTTTACCTCTTCCTCAGTTCTTATCTCTCACTATATCTCTGTCCCAATAGGTCGTTAGCCCCTCCTCATTATTGGGAAATTATAATCCTTTCCTTTGCTTTGGGGACTAAGGCCTTGACCCTAGAGGATTAAGATATCACACTATACCCAGTGCCATAGCTAAGGGGATTTCTACAGAGCACACTGAGTATGCACTCTATACTGATATACTGTCTACTCATTTTGCCATACTCAGAGATGATCTGGATACTATTACCTCCCATATTCCCTCAGTCAGAGCCCTTATAGTGTGCATGCTCAACACACATACATACACACATGCACACATACATGCACATACACATATCAAGACTCCTGAGGGACACAGCCAATTGCATTTAGCCATGACTTTCCGTGCCCTCTTTTCCAGAGTTTAATCAGATTCAGTCACATTAATGCATTTACAAATCCCTTGACTCTTAAGGATACACAAGTGACCTTTGCAAAATCTTTTTTTTTAATTTTTTTTTAACGTTTATTTATTTTTGAGACAGAGAGAGACAGAGCATGAACGGGAGAGGGGCAGAGAGAGAGGGAGACACAGAATCGGAAGCATGCTCCAGGCTCTGAGCCATCAGCCCAGAGCCCGATGGGGGCTCGAACTCACGGACCGCGAGATGATGACCTGAGCTGAAGTCGGCCGCTTAACTGACTGAGCCACCCAGGCGCCCCGACCTTTGCAAAATCTTTATGCAACTGTTTAATCTGCCCCAACGCCCAGGAAGCAAAAATCAGAAATCACTGATTTGTAGAATTTTAGAATAGAAAGGTCTGAAGATTCATTCATTAAACAAATCTTTATTAAGTTTCTACTCTGTGCCTCATAACATATATTAAGTCATGTAGTCCTATCCTCTCTTTTTAAAAAAAAAATTTAAGTTTATTTATTTATTTTGAGAGAGACAGAGACAGCATAAGTAGGGGAGGGGCAGAGAGAGAGGGAGAGAGGCTCTGTACCACCAGCGCAATGCCTGACATGGGCTCAAACCCACGAAACCACGATATCATGACCTGAGCCAAAAACAAGAGTCAGTTGCTCAACCTGCTGAGCCACCCAGGTGCCCCCCTATCCTCTCTTTTTACAGATGAGAAAGCAGAGGCCCAGATGGGCCCAGGGTCACACAGCCACTTATGTAGCAGGTACATCCAGGTGACCTGACTCCCCTTTCTGGATTCTTTATATCCACCATGCTGAATAAAAACTCATCTTAAGTCATAAGCAGTAACTTAAAGCAGATGACAAGTTTAAGAGAAGGTATTGTCATCAGTGATACCACAGATCAAAGAACAGCCTTTACCACTACAGAGTGGAAGGATAAATTACTCTTGAGAACACAATTGCATAGGTGGTCATTGCTGTCAGCATTATTATCCTGTATTAATAGCAGGGAGTGGGTGTCCCATATTGAGTAGTAACAGCAATGAGAGTTTGTAAAGTCTATAGTCCTTTACCTGAAATTGTAAAATCCCCAAACTCTGAAAACGATGTTTTCTTTTTTCTTTGGCAGAAAAATCTGACCCTACCTGATGTATCTTGGCAACAAAACCTATCCTCAATTGATGCAAATTAATTCATAGTCTTTGTTATGAATATCCCCACCTTTTTGGCTACAAAAGTATCACTATTTATTATGGGTGTACCCAGGCCCACTGTATGTGGTTTAATATAGTATACAGATTATATTTGTTTTCTAAAATCCACAAAATTCTAAAAAAAAAAAAAGTCTGACCCTGAGGATCATGATACAACTAGGCATTATGGACCTATATTACATTTAGAATATACATATTGCTTCCCAGGATTAGTGCGAGGAACACTCATTTTTAGCCCTCTCCCAACACACAAATAAGATTAATTCCACTGAGATTTCACCCTTTCCAGACTCCATTTAGCTTAGTTTTAATTTAGTTCCACTAAATTATTTAGGTTCTAAGAAATTGCGTTTCATTAATTGCAGTTTATTAAGCTGAGAGCTGGAAGGAGTAGGGTAGAAATTGCCAGGCTGCTGTAAGGGAGCCCAGGAGTGGGCAGGACCAGTATGAACAGATTGTTTTATTCTCCTCTCACCCACCATGGTTTATGGCAGGGCAGAGAAAACTTTGGAAAAGCAGCCTCAGTTTTTTCCCAGACCAGAGGGAACAATGCACAGAGCAGGTAAGGCATGGAGATCCCACACTCAGAGAAGATGAAGATGCTTCCGAAGCTCTCAGCCCTGATTAAGCCAAATGAAGGCATTCATGGGAAGGAATCCACTCTGGGCTCCATCTGCTTCATCACAATCCAGCTAGCAATAAGTCAGTAAATCCAGTCAGCCTGTGTTAACAGGTCCATCCTTCTCACACAAACCACACCTGTACTCATTCCCTCTGGGCATGGGAATACAGCACATGTGACAACATATACACTTGTCTGAAGATGCCATCTATCCCTGCATCTTTCTCAGAGAGTCTTATGAGCCTCATTCTCTGCACCATAGTAAAATCTCTGCCACTGCAAGGTACTATTGGGGCCTTTCAACAACTCTGCCCAGGCCTAGGGTCTCCTGGGACCACTGACTATAAAACCCAGCACCCCACCCTCAGAATGGCAGAGACCAACTGCAATGCATTCCTTTTCTCTTTGCTTCTATATCCCTCCTTTCCTTGTCTCGCTTCCTCTCCCCATCTCTCCTTTTCTCTCTTGTTCCTTCATCAGTTCCCCTTTCCTGTCCTAAGCCTTTCTGGTCCTCTGGCTCTACTGGGACACTTACAAATGGGGTCAGAGCACCAGCCCAAAGAGATACAAGGAAAGCAAAAGGGCACATTCTCTTGCCAGAACCCCTGACCCACCAACCTGACTGCCTTCTCTGTCCCACTCAGGACTTCAAGGATGAATGTCTTCCGCCTACTCCTGGCCACCCTGCTGGTCTCCCTGTGCCTCCTCACTGCCTACAGTCACCTGGCACCTGAGGAAAAACCCAGAGATGACAGGAACCTGAGGAGCAACTCCTCCATGAACCTGTTGGATCTCCCTTCTGTCTCTATTGTAGGTAAGTAGCCCAGCTTGACCCCTGGTCTCTGGACTCCGGTCCATGAGAAGGGGCTGCAAGATGTCAAACGTGCTCCCTGGGCTGCTACCAGGATTCACTGACATAGGTCAGAGCTCTTTCGTGTTCATTCTTCAAAGTAATCCTAGAGGAACAAAGTATTCCTTGGCTCACATGGTTTGGAAAAGCTCTGCATACCACCAGTCTAATATGCAGCTTCGCACGTTAGATGCTCCGAGAAACCCTGAAGTCAAGACACTTCATGAATTTGGTTTAACTTGGCATTTCTGAAACTAACTGAATCAAAAAACTATCAACAATAAAAATTTTAGAAAATGCTGCAGAATATAAGCAAGTGTTGTATGAACTAGTCCTTTCAGTGTTGAGATGGAGAATGACTGCTCAGGGGAAAATACCAGGGGCATTAGGGCCTGGCATTGAACATCTTCTAGTTCAATTTCATCTGATAAAAATAATAGTAACAGATATACTCCTTGTATGCTAGGCACTGGGAAGTGAGTACTATTTTAATTCCTGTTTCACAGATGAGGAAATTGAGGCTTAGCAAAGTTAAGTGACTAACATGAGATCACCCAGTTCTCAACTAGCAGAGCCAGAATTCAAACCCAGGTGTTTAATTCCAGAACCCAAGTTCAAAACTAATATCCCTCACTGCCTTGCCTCTCACTAGGAAAAGAGAATATTCTAGCGGTATCAGGGAAGGAGCAGGGAAGGGGCTGGGGTACATCACTGATCAATCACCTTTGATGTGCCAAACTTCTCACTTTATAAAGATACTTTGTTTATCCTTAAGACAACCCTGTAAGGTAGATACTAGAGTACCCTATTTGCAGGTGAGAAAACTGGGTCTTAAGGAGGTTAAGTAGTTTGCCTACGGAAATAGCTGGGTTTTTTTTTGGTTTTGTGGGGTTTTTTTGTTTTGGTTTGGTTTGGTTTTTTTGAGAGAGATAGAGTGCATGCCCACAAGCTGCAGAGGGGCAAAGAGAAAGGGAGAGAGAGAATCCCAAGCAGTACTGTCAACATGGAGCCCAACATGAGGCTGGAACCCACGAACTGTGAGATCATGACCTGAGCCAAAATTAAGAGTCAGACGCTTAACCAACTGAGCCACCCAGGCGTCCTGGGAAACACAGGTCCATCCATGTACATGGCACTGAGAGTCCATTTTTCAGGGCCTTCTTGGATTTCCTTTTTGCCTTCCCTCAGAGGACATTGGCTCCAGGTCAGCAGCCAGGCTAACAAGAATCTGCTGGCCTAAGTCCCAAGTTGTGATTCATGCAGCCAACCCCTCTTCTCCCACACCCTGAGATTTCCTGGAGCCCCCTCCACTCCTCTCACTTTACTGTAGCTCATGGCCTCCAGAAACATCTGGCTTTGCTCCTTCTGTCTCTCTTTGAAGCACTGAACAAGAAATCCAAAAAGATCAGCAGAAAAGAGGCGGAAAAGAAGAGATCTTCCAAGGTAGGACTGGGAGTTTTCATTATGGGGGTGGGACCAGACTTAAAAGGGAATTCTAGCTAGGAACTAAATGAAAGACTTTCCAGACTTTCATGAACAAAAGAAGCTGAAAGCTATCTAAAGGCTTCCTGCCCTCAAGCCCTGAACCAGACCCCCACAGAAGCCCAGAGAGCTAAGGTTCACTGAGCAAAATAGCTTACCTGCTAAAAAGCATCTTCTTATAGTAGCTAGCCCCCTGACTGAAATGTCACCATCATTCATTCTTTTGACTGAATGCAATGTTTCCTAGACCTCTGTTATTTCAGAACTATTTCCCACAATTTTATTTTAAAGATTTATTTTTAAATAATCTCTACATTCAACATGGGGCTTGAATTTATAATCCTGAGATCAAGAGATGCATGCTCTACCAACTGAGCCAGCCGGGAACCCCCCACAATTTTTGCCATATGTGAGTTTCACCTATTTGTTTAAAATTAAAACTTAAAAAAAATCTATCTATTATATATCTATCTATATATATATATATATATATATATATATATATATATATATAACTATGACAGAAAATCAATATCACTTGCCATAAAAATAAGTTTAATGAAACCAAAAGATTTTTAGTGGAATTTAGCTGGATGGGGTCACCTGCCAAATGCTCTAAATCTGAGGCTTATTGTTAAGAGTCAGATTAGAAAGTGTGGGGAAAGCATTAATGATATATTGGCACCAAACTGAGCCTTTAAAATTGAAAGAGATTGAAAAAGGAATCCTTTCTCATTATGTGATTTAATGTCATTTAATACTCATGTACTACCTAAAATCATACTACCATGGTACAGGTTCCCACCCTTTGGGAAATACTAGATTAAGGCATTGTTGAAATGCACACATTATTCCAGTCTTAGACCTGGCACTGTGTGACCTTGAGAAAGTCCCTGCTCCTCTCTAGACATTTTGTTGAGTGACAAGCAGATCAGATGATTGACATATAAGAATACATGGTTCACAGATATTTTTGTATGCTAGGTTCAGGGAATACAGAAGTGAACAAGAGGCATATATCCCTGCTATCATGTAGTTTACATTCTTGTGGGGAAAAGAGACAAACAGCAAGTAAACCAGTAAACAGGTAAAATAAATTCAGATAATGATAAACACTGTAAAGGAATTAAAGCATGGTAATGAGAGTGAAGGGAAGAGTGGTCTCAGAAGCCCTCCCTAAGGAAGCAGCACTTAAATACTGAAAACTTCAGTAACCTCAAGCAGCAATGCCTAATAGAAATAAACTGTAGACCACGTATGTGAATTTAAATTTCCTAGTAGCTACACTGAAAAAAAGGAAAAAGAAGCACGTATCATTAAGTTTAACATTTTATTTAACCCAGTGTATCCAAAATATTATCACTTTAATATGTGACCAATATAAAAAGTTAGATATTTTACATTATTTTTCTATGTGTGCTAAGTCTGAAACCTGGTGGTGTATCTTTACGCTTACAGTACATCTCAATTCCGATGGTAACTTTTAATAAAGTCAGCTGTAGTCCTAACAAGAACAATTTTTTAAAGAAAAAAATTTTACGCTGCTTCTATTTTTAAATGTAAATTAATATTAAAATTAAATAAAATTTGAAACTTCTGTTCTTCGGTTGCACTAGATACATTTCAAGTACCTGTACTGAAGGGCACAACAAAGAATGGTTTCAGGAAAGTGGGTAGCCAGTTCAAAAGCCCTGCAGCAGGAACTCTGCGCTTGAGAGCAAGGAAGGAAGGCGAATGGAACAGTGTGGTAAAACAGCTCGGAGAGGTGGGTGGGGCCACACCAGAGGGCCTCGAGGGCCTAAGTGACGTTTATGGTTTATTCTAAGTTCAAAGAAAACCTACTGAGGGCTTTAAGCCAGAGTGGATACCATCACAGGTCTTCGGAGAGGTCCGTTTGGTGCAATGGAGGATGGACTGTAAGTGGGCCAGAGCAGCAGACTAAGGATAGTGGCCTGGCTCAGGGTAGCGAGGTGGTGAAGTGAGTGGATCCGGATTTAATGGGAAGGCAGAACGGACAGAGATTGGGGATACACTGGAAGGAGGAACACCCAGAACTGAGTGGGACCCCCCAGGGAGAAAAGTGGGCCAGGCGCAGCCAGGTAAGTAAGTGTTACTGGGTTTGGAGGCAGGGGATAGGTGACTGGGGGAGGCAGGGATCCGCTAGGGTCCCCCGTGGGCATGCTGTCGAATGGATGGTGGGCTGTGGGTACATATGTGTGGTCTGGGGCCTCCACTGCCCAGAGTTCCCAAGGCTGAGGTGAAGAGGGGTGGGGCGGACGTGGCCGGATTGAGCAGCCCCCGCTTTTCCCCACAGAAAAAGGCTTCGATGAAGAATGTTGCTCGGCCTCGGCGGCCCCGGCCTCCTCCGTCCGCCCCCTGCGTGGCCACTCGTGACAGCTGCAAGCCGCCGGCGCCCGCCTGCTGCGACCCGTGCGCCTCTTGCCAGTGCCGCTTCTTCCGCAGCTCCTGCTCCTGCCGAGTGCTCAACCCCACCTGCTGAGCTCACCCACCTCCAAGGCCAGCGGGGAGGGGCAGGGCGCCAGCTGGGAGGGGTAGGGCGCCAGCGGGGAAGGGTAGGGCGGGGCTCTCGGGGGGGTTGGGGGGGGTCGCTTCCTGGGGTGGGTGATTTCTAACAGGTCCTTGCATTTGGCGCGGGCGTAGCTACTTAGGTTGCGAAGGAGCTTTCAGGAGGCGGGGCTTCAAGGAGACTTGGCTTGGGCGGGGCTAAAATCCAAATATATGTAGGTTGCTCAAAGGTGTGTGGCTGTTTCTTTAAAGGACCCCAGAGATTCTTTTCCGTTCCTGGAGTCCCCTTCACTGCAGAAGACCTGGACTGCGCATGCTGTATCTCCTGAGGGGTCTGAGAAACCGGATTTCCCAGGCCCTAGGGCATGCGCATGTCCGTTGGAGACAAGTGCTGCCCCCTACCTTTAAGCCTGGGAACACACGAAGCTGCCTGTCTGGAGCTGGCTGTGAAGGTGCACACGCCAGTTGTGTCTTTCCACAATGTCAGCTTTATTCAGTCATAAAGCAAGGTTAACATAATTATAAAGCCGGTTCAGGATTCCAAATTCAATGACATTTCACCACGTGTTTAACTTGACCTTTTACATGTCAGACAAAGCACAAGACAGGTCACATAACAAGCAATGTAGAACGCGGGGAGGAAGCTAAGGAACCAATCTTTGACCAAGCAGTTGGGATAAGGCCTCAGTCGGGTCTGGGTCAGCTCTCCTGGGTCAGCTCTTGCACTTATTGCTTATTGTGTTCAAGCAGTGAAGCATCTGTGTTCTTTCCAGAGATCAGTCAGGCAAGCCTTCAGCTGCCTTTTTGAAGTGTTCAGACATAGAGACGTCAGTGTCTGAGAAGTCTGACAGTTTGCTGCCAAAATCCTTTTTAAACGGGATTTAATCAGTCTTGGGCCTTTGGTGACCTCCTCTGTTTCTGTTGGTTGTAACTCCTGAATGTGTCAAAAGCTGGTGCTGGTCTCCAAGATATCTGGTCGTACCTGCAATGCCCTTAGCTGCTTGCATCATTGCTTGACAGTCACCTGTTTGACACAGGCCCCTGCTTAACATGAGCAACTCCATCTTGCTCTCTACATTCCACCCCGTGATTTCTCATGACAAATCTGTAAGGGTCATGCAGGAATCAAGTCTTAAACCAAGTCAGCAGTACTAGTTTGCTAATGTGGAAGAGGGCAAATCCAAATCATTCAATCATGTTTTCAATCAGAATCAAACAAAATCAAATAAATCAGAAATCATATGAAATGTCAACTGATATCATAAAACAAAGATCACATCAAATCTAAGCAAGTTAGATACATTAAACTGAATCAAATAAAGCAAAATTAAGTAAGGATTAAATTTTAAAACTCCAACTTAAAGTCACATCTAATAAGATTTAAATCAAGTCAAAAAGAGAGGAGAAAAACTAAATCTAAATGTAATGAAGGTAAGTTAACAAATCAACATTGCAGTCAAATACATGAAATAAGAATCATATTGCCAACTATGGGCAGATAAAAGTAAAAAATATACATGGAATCTTCCACATAGGCTCTTGGCACGTCTAGAAAAGAATGGTGAAGGTATGGTTAATCATAGTCTTTTTGTGATTTTTCCTTCTTAAGCCTAAGGGTGCGTAACATTTTAATAGCATGTTTAATAAGATATATAACAAAAATAATAGCTAAAAGCAAGAGAAGATTTCCTTAATGGATTTCCAAACATGTATAGAGAGATAATCCCTTTAAGTATTTTAAAGGGTTATAGTCAGGCCATGAGCCAAAACAAATCACGTTTGAAGGGTTTTGTTAACAACTCTGGAAAGGACCATTTATTATATATGTTTTGTATATTTTTGTTCAATGCAGCTAAGTTGGGGTTAATGACTCCTGCGGCCACCTGAGTGGGCTGTGCAGCATGATTAAAGTGGGTTAGCTTGTTGGTTGAGGTTTTATGGGCTACTTTGAGCCTTTCTAATTTTTCATCTAGAAATTTATCAATTTTGTTAATTTTTACCCAAGGTATTTCTGTTATTTTAGTAGGATAAGATGTTGAAAAAATTTTTATGTGAATATTGTGAGACAAAGGTACCCATTTTGGTAATGCTACTAAATGTTACATTAATAGCATACAATATTTTAACACACTCATTGTCTATGGTGATGATAGATAGTATCATTCATTCTATATGATTAAAGAATGTGACCTCTGAGAAGCTATTAGCACAAATTATCCAATGAAAGTGTCCCATGTCCAAAAGTAAATTTTCTTTTTTTTTCTTTTTTTTAATGTTTTTATTTATTTTTGAAGGAGAGAGAGAGACAGAGCATGAGTTGGGGAGGAGCAGAGAGAGAGAGTAGGAGACCCAGAATTCGAAGCAATCTCCAGGCTCTAAGCTGTCAGCACAGAGCCCAATGCGGGGCTCAAACTCACAAACTGTGAGATCATGACCTGAGCCGAAGTCAGACATTTAACCAACTGACCCACCCAGGCGCCCCTAAAAGTAAATTTTCAATGGCCGTTCTTGTTAAAGGAAAAAGATTAGCATTGATTTCCAATTCATGCCATGTATAATACATGCTATTAGACCATTGAAATACTATCTCTTTGGGTAGTAAATATCCATCAATCCATAAGGATGTTTGCGGTGCCAGAAGTGCTATGTTATAATGTATTTTTGGTGGTATAGAATATGTGTCATGTGCTAATAAGCTTTGACCCCCTAATCATCTTAAAAATGAAAGTTTACATTGTCCTATATTGTCACAACCTGATGGTCTAGAGGTGTCTAATTGTAAGAAAGGCTCCACCCAGTCAGAAAAATACTTTACAATAATGTTTTTAATATCATTCCATGCTCTGTACAGTAGGTTATTGATTATGCAACAATTATTTTTTAATTGTTCTCTTATGTAGAAATTTCTAAGATTAAGTAACTTTCGTTGGAGGGCCTGAACTTTATGGTCAATGTTAATAGTTAAATTCCAGTTGGTAGGCATGATAATCATGCATAGTTGAGACAATCATGCATAGTTGAGACAATGGAATATAATTCTCTGAGTGCTGAGGAGATCTTGGAACCTAAATTTCCTACTGAATTAAGTATTTATTTGTTTTGGGAGAGAGAGAGAGAGAAGATGCACACATGAGTGGGGGGAGAGGCAGAAAGAGAGGAGAGAGAGAATTCCAAGCAGGCTCTGTGCTGTCAGCAAAGAGCCCAATGCAAGGCTGGATCTCATGAACCATGAGATCATGACCTCAGCTGATATTAAGAACCAGATGCTTAGCCAACTGAGCCACCCAGGCACCCATGGATTGTAGGCTTTCTAAGTCTAATCCTATCAATGGGTGGTTGGTCAGACCATTCATGGATGGTTGTTCCTAGTTCTGTGGCATAAATTTTACATTCAGGTTGTATATCAAACAAATTGAATTGTTCCTTTTGAAAGGTTATTTCAATTCTCTGTGGCATAGGTTTGTATACAATTCTCATAGGGTCAAGTAATTAGGTTCAAACACACTTGGCTTGAGTTTTGGTGTTGGGTTGGTAATGCCATGTGTCCATTGTGGCTTCCAGTGGAAAGTTATCATACAGTGTGTAATATTCCAACATCCTCTCTCAGTAATACATGGGCCTGGACTATTGGGTAATATACCACATGTGTCAAAGGTGACTCCTTTAGCTATGTAAACTGGTGTAGATGACTCAGTTCTGGTTATATTCTCATAGATAGGGTGCCTTGCTGACCATGTATGTTCCACATCTCACGCATCTGATGGTTGGATCAATAAAAAGGAATATTGTTGCATGCCTGGATCAAAATGTGTTGCTAAATTTGCATTGAAATCAATTCCCAATGTTCCCCACCATGCTGGTGATTTTCCTTGTGTAATTCAGGTTTTATTAATCAAAGGATAGTAAAAATTATTGAATCTAATTGTTATAATGGGCATACCGGTATAATCACTTCCTTTGTTGTGTTGTATAGGTTGACTTCAGATTTTGATATTAGGGTAGCATTATATGTGCCAGTCATATTAAGTAATTTGCAAAAAGATGTGTAGGATGATGTGTAGAAAGATAGGTAGAAATGGGGTTGGAGCAATTGAGTTGTGTCCTATACCATGTAGGCATGAAAGGACCCAAGGTGATTGGACCTATAGCTGCAGTGCCCTTAGCTGCTTGCATCATTGCTTGAAACAGGCCCCCTTGCCTGACCTGAGTGACTCCATCTTACTCTCTACACTGCCTCCAAAACTGGGGAATGCAGACCAGCTAGGCAGAAAGTAAACATTAAGGAATCACCAGTCTTTTACCCTTTCCGCCTTTTAAGGAGCTGCCCTCACCCCTGAAAAAATAAGGAAAGCTAAAACTCCATACACAGTCTCACTGGGCTTTCTGTCCTGGGGGCTCTGCAGATGAAAACTGGGGTGACTGGTTGTGACATGGGTCCTTTAGGCCAGAAGTCTCTGGCCTGAGGATCCTAGAGCTTTAGGAGGCTCCTGAACAAAGGTGCCCCTTTTGCCCACTCCTCCCTTTCTCCTAGGGGTTCCCAGATGTTCTGAGGCTTGGGAGAAGTTTCTCCCAATCCTAGGTGAAATGAACACTGACCATCTGTCCCAGGCATTTTTAGCTCTGAAGGCCTAGAATAGGCCCAAGTAAGAAGCAGGGGTTCAGGAATACTTCCTCAGTCCCCACCCCAGCTCTGCCAGCCCAGTAACCAGGCAATGAGCCCAGGCTTGGTGAATAGGCAGCAACCTTTGTCCAGTATTATCAGGGGGACTCTTTCCTAAAATGTCCCAAGCAGTTGCCTGAAATTCCATTCTTAGAGATTCTTTAAATCTGTGAGAAACTGAGTGCAGCATTATGCCTTTAGAAAGGCTCTGGAAGCAGGAGCACCTGAGATACTGGGGAGACAGAGGGTAGAGGTACAAGTAGTGTCTATGATTGGGGCACCTGGGTGGCTCAGTCAGTTAAACGTCCGACTTC